GAACCAAGTGCAGTATTTCAGATTTGTGCATAAAGATAATGGAGCAAAATGATTTCCAGCGCATGAAAACATGGCTAAAAAAATCCTTCAACCATTTATGGGGTTTAAGAACGAGTACAAATAAAGAAACTTTCAGTTACTGCATTAACTTGGGAAAGCGTCTCTCCACAGCACATCAAGTCAATTAATACGTACTTTTATGATACACTGAGAACGGATCTGACAAAGCTTGCATTTTAAGAAATGCACTTACCAACAGAACTATTAATTTCTCTTCTGTTCCCCAAAACAAACAGGAAATAATTAAATGTGGCCAAATTCCTGAATTTTTTTGGCATTTCATATATATATATATACACATAGCCCACAAAACCAGTAAAATGTACCTGCAGACTCCGTTTGCAGCATTGTTGGGACTTCTCTTGGTCTTAGGTGACTAATTTCACTGCTGCTGTAGCGTACGGGAGTTTCTTCATGTTCTGCTGATTTGGACGGGAGAAACTGCTTCATTCCTTTCCACCATCCTTCACATGGGTTTAAAAAAAAAACAAACCACACCTAAGACTGCATACATACTGTGTTTTAGGCTATTCAAATATTTTTACACCACAGCTTATATTTTGTAGTAGCAGGTATTTGCATGACCCTAAGGTGACAAGATCTCTTAGTATTTTCTGGCAGAGTGGGGATTCCGAGCTGCAAACGTTAGTCCCACCCCATCAGCTTGCCTGACTGCTCCCCCTTCAAACTGCTGCGCTCCGGTCAATCTATCCCTGAATGTCCCTTAGCAGCGGGGCTGGGGCTACTCGTCATATTAATAAACTCATAACACTACAACACAGAAACCACTAAAAAAAAGTCAGCCATGATTCCAATTTGTGAATCAAATATTTACACAAAATTTTAAACAGTTTCAGTTACAACCTAAGAGTACATTTAATTAACGTGGTTTCTGGCTGTTAGTGTCATGTTTCTAACTCACATTGTTGAAAAAGGCTGATCAGTGAATAACTGCAAAAACCTGAAAGAAGAGGATTTTAACTTCAGTGGCAATGCCAAGGAGTGACTGTGGTCACGAACGCTTTCTGGAGAGAAGGCGGGGGGGGCTGGTTTTGTTAGGTTCCCCCCATCCCTTGCCCCAGTAGCCAGAGCTGTTCTAGTTGTGCTGGCCATATTAACAGATTTCATGCCAGCTGTAGGAGACCATCCTGCAGGTAAAGCCCAAGAAAGAGGAGATTCAAAACCACAGGACACTATTTAACAGAATTTGAGGTAGTGTGTGGAGGGGACAGACCGAGGAAGTGTAGCAACATTATTTTGATACTGCATTTTGCCAAATTGCCTTTTAAACAGACCCGCATACTGAACATTTACATTTAAGCAAACATGTCCATCATTGACATCTAAACACAGGATACTCTGAGTCTAATATTCTAAGACAGCAATGCTGTGACCTATGAGAAGCAGACATGTAATAAATAAATATAAGGTCATGAAAAGGTTTCTTGTCTAAAGGACAAAGCATACTTAGAACTGCCAGTGAGCAAACACGCAGATGTGGACATTTTCACCATGAGGACAGAGAAGTGACGCACGGTGCTACAGGCAGGACAAACCCAGCCGTTGCAGCAGCCCTTCACGCTGTAGCACAGGCATTTTCAGGACGCTGGCTAAGTGCCGCTTGGTGGAATTGTCTGATCTCAAGTTAATGGGGCAAAGACAGTAGGATGGAAAATACGCCTCAGAGGGGCTGCAAACAACCCCACGGGCTTACTAGGGCAACGAAGAAAGACAAAACTTGAGAGACCTTATACACGAAGATGAAAGATTTTTTTTCCAGGACAAAAAAAGTACCAAATATATGATTATCAAATGTATAAAGATATTCCTCATAAATTATTTTCCCCCTCATGTTGTAAAATTAAGAGGTTCTATGCTTTGTTTACTAAAAAAATTCTGAAGGTGTAAGCTCTAACAGGAGACAAGGTATTGTCTATTTCTGAAAAAAAAATTCAGAGAATGAAGCAGTTAAGTCTGTCCAGAAAAGAAATCCAGTGTTCACTATGCCTACATCCGTTAGCATTAGAGAAGCTTCTGCTAGTGGAAACTGTCTGTGTTAGTGCAATCTGAAACACACATCAGACCAGAAATGCCAAGTAAAGGATTTCATAATCCCATTTTGTTACCTGCACGATCCCAGTAAGGTAGATCATACGTGCCCTCAGTTTTTTTCTTGCTGAGAAAAAAAAGAAAAAGGGGGTATTTTAGCTAGTCTGCTTATCGGAAGATGCATTAATTAATGCTCAGCAACTCTCAATTTGGCTGTAACTGGTCCTCAAATTTAAAAGTATAAGCACCAGTAACCTGGCTTGCCATCACCAGTCTGCTGCTACTGGAGAAACCAGTTTTCAGGACAAGCACTTCTAATGAGAACAGTTACAAAAAGCTGTTGGCACTGCCCTCACTATTTAAGCGCACATTTTCTTACAGAGAATACAATTCTGAAAAAAAATCCTTCCCCAAGAGTGGAGCATGTAGTTCCCACAGCGATACGTGCAGCATTTCATTCCCGCACGCCAGGCTGCCCTTCACGTAAAGCACTTCCACGCATCCGTTCATTTACCGGTTTCTCCAATGCCACGCACAAACTAAGATAAGAATCAGAGTAGTGAAGACCATCACCAGCACCGGAACCAGAACTGCTGCCAATGCCACATCTGAAAGCCATTAAATTAAGTGGTGTCAGACAGAAGAGCTTCTCATAAATCAGTTTTTAATTTGAAAATTACTTGCGTAAAGCACGTATTTTTCATGTCTAGCGTCTATCCCACCAGGTCCCCCCGCTAAGCTATCCTGCTGGATGCTCCCGCAGTGTAGACGCCAATTAATATCTAGCTCTTCTACGTGTATGCACAGCTGGCATTTTTGCAAGGTTTTTCATCAAAATCAACAGATTTGTTTTAATATAAGTAAGATTTTTCAGTTAGAACAATGTATTTTATTATTAACAAGGCAAATCAAAAGAGCCCAGGAATATGCAACCACTTAAGTCTGAACCTCCTCTAAGAAGTGACCACCGCAGCACTGTAACAGTTCATCCCAGGCCGCCTGTGACACGAGCCCATCCTGTCCCCTGCCACCCGAAGGACACCTCGCCCATGCCCACAGCTGCAGTGCCCTTGCTCCCTTTTCTGACAATTTTCTTTGATAAACAAAATGATGATGCCAGATGATATTTTTCAAATTTCATGCCAACGTGACTGCTCCATAAAAGATTAACTATGTCAAAAGTGTAAGAAATTATCAAATTAAGTAACAAAGCAGTTACATCTGGTTAATTCTGAAGGGAAGTCAAGTTGCAACTTCTCCTTCTGACAAAATTTGTTCCGTAATTCTCAACTCAGTTTGAACAAGTTTTGAAAGACAGGACTTACATATGTGACTTGGAAGATTGGTTGTGTTTCTGCATGCAGTATGCAACTGTTACATTTTTTATCACATGTACATTTAATAACTGGTAAATATTGAAAAGCTTGGTAATTCGCTGTAATACATTAAGCACTGAGAACACTGAAATTCAGAAAGCACACTTAATATAGGCCGAAGTACCGTAAGGAGTTCCCAAACACTTCTACTGCTTAACTGTGGGTACCTTTGGTTACGCTTGGAGTCACTGTGGTGTTTTTTATTTCCGGTGTGAAAGTTGTTTTATCTGTCTGCAACGAAGTCTTCACTGAATGAATGAAGTCATCGCTGAAGTCATCACTCTTGTCATCATTCTTGTTCTGAGGTGGTGGTGGCACGGTGATTTTAGGAGCACGGCCTTTAGAAGAAAAGAATTTATTAAAAAAGTTATTTGAAGTGCTACTTCTCCATGTTTCCTTTTCCGGAGAAGACAGCTGGAACAGTTTGCTCTAAAGCTTTTGTTCACATTATAAAACGAGGAAAAAAAACCATGAATCAATAACATGGAAAGCAAGCGACTGGTGTCTTTTGAAACATTTATTTTCTAAATTACCTCGTTTACGCCTAAACTAGGTATTTTCCAGGTTAAGGGTAATAACTGGAAGAAATTCAGAAGTATCAGTTACGGACGGATTATGCAGCTAAGAAGTACTTTTTTCTCATTGAAAATATACCCACAATGTCATCTTTGCCAAATTATTTCACTGCTTGTTTTGCACAGTTGAAAAGGTTTTCAGTTGCCTTACCTATACTAAACTGACATCCTAGCAGTTCTACTTTCATTGCAATTTTCTGGTGCCATTTTAAGGGGTTAATCCTAAAAAAGCGTGCAATAATAGGTGGAATGAAATTATTGCGAACTTCCTGGTGCAATTCAGTGTTCCCTTGGAATATCTAGAAAAGAAAAAAAAAAAAAAAAAAAAAAACATTATGTTTGCCTTACCTATACTAAACTGACATCCTAGCAGTTCTACTTTCATTGCAATTTTCTGGTGCCATTTTAAGGGGTTAATCCTAAAAAAGCGTGCAATAATAGGTGGAATGAAATTATTGCGAACTTCCTGGTGCAATTCAGTGTTCCCTTCCCTTTTGAAAATTAGAAAAAAAAAAAAAAAAAAAAAAAGACAAACATTATGTTATACAAATGCAATAGCAACTAAGTAACTACAACCAATTTGGATGTTTTATTTAGGAAAAATAAGCGCTGCAGAATCCTGAAAATTCACCCCAGAACGGTGCTGCTGCCTGCACATCTCCACTCACTTGGCCCTATTAAATAGATAACTAAATAAAAATAAAGGGGGGGGTGTGTTATGTGTATGCACGCAACTACTTACTTCAGAATAAAGGTACCGTGTAATATCCTACTGATGCTCCCCAGGCCGCGCCTGCTGTTAAAGACATCTCACGTGTTTATGGCACTGAATAATTCTCACTCAGCCCTTTTTGGTAGTCTGCATCGACTCTTCAAATGCATCCAGCAAGCAGGTGTGGCACTGTGAAAGCAGGAATATGAAGCGGTGCCTTCAAGCACAGTCTGTCCTGTGCCTGGGTGTGGCGTTTGTCAGAACGCACCAAGAGCCGCAGTCGCAGATGTAACCACGCTGTCCTCCAGTGGCGGCCGTCTGCGAGGACTGAACCACCAGCAAAATAAAGGATTCCGGTTCAGAATGGGAGCGCTCTCCCTTCTGTCTCTCTCATGCAGAGCCACGCGGTTCTGGATGAGAAGGGCGCGGGCTTTGCACAAAGGATGAGCTAAAGCTGGGCCTTGGCTGCTGGTCCACGCACACAAAGAACTCATCAAAATTTGACGGTACAGAACGAGTTTGCCTGGCTGCCATTAAGCAGGCAGTCACTGCATGACGCAGCGTAAGCACACCGACAAACTTACAGCCAACGACAGGTTTTGCACTGAGCTGCTTAAAACAATAGAGAAACTAGGCCCAGTGCTCCGACCCAGCGAGCCAGCCCATCATCTCCTTGGGGGGCCGCTTTGGTACCACGTCTGCAGGAAGAAGTGAACTACCGCTCCATGGCAGCGCACAGCAGTTGGGCTCTGGCTCTGCAAATGCAGCTCTTGGGTGCTACTGCAACACGCGTCACCACAGAGGTGACAGCAAATGACTAACATATTTGTTTTTAAAGCACTGGTACAGATAGATACTGCACATCACGTTGGACATAACGCAGAGCAGAATTATGGCACTTGCCTGAAAAAATAAGTATTACAGCGAGGATTCTGCTCCCTCGTACCACCTGCTGAACAATAAAGCACCTTGCCGCTCCTAAGGACAAGCACTGTATTGTGTAACAGCTGCTATGTCTGCATAGAATGGAGCAGTCGAGTTTTCAGCACGCTTCTGATCAATGCAGGTGGCTGCTGTTTCAACCCTGATACACAAGATAGATAGCGGTTTTTGTATTGCACGCCTGTGCTTAAGTTTTTTTAACAGAATGACTCAAATATCTCTACAGGTTTGAAAGAAAACAGTTATTCCAGGAAACTGCCCGTTCAAAAGCCCCAAAAAACCCCAACCAACCTCAGAGACTTAAGGGCCTCACCCTGGGCTCCCTGACGTACAGAACGTGTCTCCGCTCTCAAAAGACACACAAGCCCCATGACTATTACTTACGCGTAAGAATTTTAGTTTGTCCTTGCATAGGTGTTAATTGTCTTCACGTTTGAAAGCACTGACTGATCAAATAGAGACCGTAGGCACGGAAAAATAAATCACCTGGCAATGTAAATGCCGTACTTCATGTCTGAGTGGATTGTTTTTTCGACATCTTAAATTAGTAACCAGCATTTTCAGTTTTATGTAGCCAAGTAACACTATCAAACTGCTTACCCAGTCACGATACTAAAAGTCTAGGTAGGCAAACACGAGGTATTTGCCTTGAAAGTGTAGACTCCCTGCTCCTCCCCGGCTCGCTGCAGCGCAGATTTACAAGCACAGGGCTCTCGGTGACATTTGTCCTGCTCTGAATTTAAGCCTATTGTTCCTAAATATACTTAGCAGCAAGGAATGAAGACAGATTAAACACAAGGACAAGTCTATGGTGTTACATTGGAAATAAATGAATAATACAGAGCAGTCACAGTTTGCGTGTCCAAGTAGTGACAATCTAATGCAACACAGCAAGAACAGAAGACCGGGTTCCAATTTACAGCCACTTTTCCCCTAAATTAGGACAATTTTTTTTTTTTTTAAATTAAGCTGTGACAGGCTTGGATCTCACCTGAGAATTATTTGTTTTGGTAAAGATGCAAATGAGGAGCAAAGTACAGAGGTGACTCTGAGGGGCTGCGCCCAGCCCGAACTGCTGTCCTGGATCCTTGCTGGCGCTGTGCCGCGCCAGGGCCCGCTCCTAGAAGGTGGTGCACACTGCATCTGGCCACCCGAGCAGTAAACGCAGAAGTTACAGATGAGGAAAATACATGCCCAGCACTGAAAGTTAGTCTCGCTTCAGGTTTCTGAGGCTGAGCACAGCAAAGGCAACAAGAATCGTTAACATTTATTACCTTCAAGAAAGATTAACAACAGTAAAGTAGTTCTTTACTCCAGGCTTTTCTTAGTCAAGCGTTGGAAGTCAAGTGTTACATAGTAACTTAACTTTACCTGCAGCTCAATGCTCTCTGTTCATTTCATGTTTTGCACAAAAAAAAATTTGCTTCTGAGCTCAATACAGTGCAAGGGTTTTTTATAAGAAATCACTTTCATAATCCATTATCAAACTCTCTCCATTTGCCTCTGTGCTGTCAAACAAAACTTTTCCAACACTGCAACTTGGATTTGTCATTTTTCCCCAATTCAAACATTTTATTCTTTTTCTCATATATAAAAATTTTAAGAAAAGCTTTTCTTGAGTACTGACTGATCTCTAGAAACTACTTGCAAAGAGGACTACAGGAAAGCCTTGGAAAAGCTTCTAGTCTCCTAACCAACGCTGGGAATTACAAACATTTTTCAAAGGAATGGGGAATAGCACCTCCTGGTTTCTCCGGTGGGCAATTAAGGGAGGCTCGAAGGGAGAAGTCTGCATGCACAGGCATCCAAAAGCGACGCTGTATCAAGTGAGGCCATGTCAGACAGAGGGAAAATCTGCTGTTCTCAAGCCTAAGAGAGCAACTGTACTGAGCCCTTTTTTCTGTCATTTAACTACAGCTGGCACCTCCCGGATACGTATGGTGCCTCATGCACTGAACCTCATGGGACAGAGAGTGCAAAAGAAGATCTGTTGCCTGTAATTTCAAGCTCCACAATCTGTTTCATGTCATGAACTTGCAAGAAAAACAATATGCTCAATTAAAAGGCAACAGCTGCAAAGGTTTTCTAAGAACTACACATGAAGCCTAAACCTAGGCAGCTCGCTAGCTGAGATTTTATTTTATGGCCAGAAGAGGGCACTCGAAAACTAGCAAAACAGGCTGGATTTCCGCCCCCCCCCCCCTTGAATACTTCATAGTCACGGTCTGTTAGTTCACGTGGAGGGTCAAGGAGATGGACCAGCCCCACAGTAAAGTCTCCTCCTTTCGGGAGAGTTTCCTACTGTGATTATGTTCAGTGTTCAAAACCTCTGAATTTAACAAACAAGATACTTCAGCCTTTCACTCCCTCGACAGGCTGCTACGTCCTACCTTGAAACGTTCTTAGCCCACGGCGAACAGAAGAAAACCAAGTACGGCTAAGGAGTTACCATTCTCAAGACCCATTTCTAAAAAGTTACTAGGTTGCTAGTTCCTATTCCACGTATGTGATACCACAGGCCGATGCAAGTAAGGTGAATGACATCCAAGAATTTTAAGAAAAAGAAGGAAATTCTAGTTCCAGTCGGGTTACCAAGGAGCCTCTCATTTGTTTAAGAAAATCTGATCTGAACCACTGGGAAGACCACGCAGGACATTAATCTTATTTTGACTGTCTATTAAATACTGCAAAACTGTAAACACAGGGGAAAATAAAGATTATCTTGCCCCTAACGTTAGGTAATTTCTCTGTGTGGCAAAGTGTTTGCAATCTGAACATGCCATTGCATTTTTTAAGAAAACTCCCCTCTGCGCGGGCTGTTCTGTTACACAAGAAACTTACCAGTATTTTGTCAAAAAGTAAAGTTGACAGAACATAAAAGCTGGAAAATTACTCAACCCCCAACATTTATTCTGTAACCACAGGGGGGTAAGAATGTAAACCTTAATTTTGAAACTTACAACCTATTTTGAAAGAAATCTGATTATTCTTAAAGGGACGCAGTACCAGACAGCCTACCACTGGCAACAGAAGTTTCTTGTATAGAATATTCCCACCCCCAAATAGTAATAAAAATAATATGAGTTTCAGAACTGTTCAAATCCTTACATATTTGCATATTCTTGTGTTTTATTCTGCATAGATGCTGCTTATGATTCAAAATGACACTGAAAAGGAAAGTTATGTAACACTTCCGCACCGTACCAAACTTAGTGGCGTTTACAGGCGTGAAATCTCCACAGAACATACCTAGAAGCCTGTGGTATTTTTACCTTATCTTTATCCATGCCAGGTTCTCTGTACGCTGTCCATTTCTGTGCATCATCACTGTATAAAATTCTGTAGGCGGAGACGTAATAGTAGTACTCTGCTAAGGTTGATCCAGTAGTTATAATACCTGTGAAAATGAAGGCGCCCAGTTAGACAAAAAACTGGTACCAGTTTGTAAAAATGAATAGATCAGCTTTTGAATCCGGAGTAACACAGCTGGAATCGCCACTGCTCCAGTTACCTTTCGAAAAGTTTATCCAAGGTGCCAGGGCCTGAAACTTCTACAGTGACTGAAACCTAATAATCATTTTACTTACTTTTATATTTTAATTCTCACTGTATAACCTTGCTAAGCTCTTTTCCCCCATTTCTTGATGGGAACGGCCTGTTCATTTGACCATGGCCCACTTCTGTCTCCAGTTGCCCAGACAGCGCCACTCTTCCCCACTTTGTGCCGCCAACCTCAAAGCGCCACCGGAAGAACCGTAGCTTCCCAAAGCTGACGCTTCAGCGCTGCCGAAGGACTCACATAGGAAAAGCTGGTTTGTAAAAGCTTATTAGCACAGGAATTAGAGGAGTAATGTAAAATCCAAACAGTCCCCAGGGAGGTAATAACAAAGGCTGCTGGTAAACCCGAGCTGCTTAATGACAGGAAGGCAAGCTGCTGATAGCAGGGTGTGCAGCTGAGCTTGCAGAGACCAACTCAGGCATCTGAGAGAGACAAACCCAACCTGATCAAAGGAAGATGTTTCACAACAGGCTTAAAGCCCGGGACTCTATGCAGCACATCCACCCAAAGCCACTTTATTTTTTATTTCAGTCAGATTGCAAACAGGCCCATTAACAACAGCAAATCACCTCTGAATAATGAAATCAAAATAGAAAACACTAATGTTTCACTACAGCCATGACGGGCAGCAGGGAAAACCTAGAAACATAAGTCAGTACACTTGCATCAGAGGCACCAGTGGACTGGGCTGCTTGCATACGGATTTGCACCTCCGAGGAGACAATCAGCAGGAAAAGGGAAGCATCGAGGATCCACTAAAACCACAGGAAACATTTCAACAAGCCCTGCTGGAAGAGGTGTTTTCTACTATGAAACTCCACCTGTTCAGCTCCAGGCTCCTCCGTGTACTAGCTAGGACACGGAACCAACTTTGCTGTAATGGTAATTAAATGTCACCTGGACTTTATCTAAGACCAAGCACTGGAAAAAAGGATGTCAGAAACCAAACTTTTTGAATGCTGCTTAAAAGCCCCATCAGATTCACCTACCTGTTATTCTCTTTTCTTTGTTCAAGTCAATCTGCAGCCACTGATGTTCATCACTGATAAAAGCAGCCCAAGGAGGACCAACCCTTTTTAGTCTGGCATTTTCAGGTTTCCAAATGTTCACTTGTCCTGTTTGGTCAGACCACTCCAGAATAGATGATGCCGTGACCTGGGAATCAGGGATTACCCCAGATTCCATCCCCAGTGTCCCATAGCAACCTGAACAACAGAAAAGGTGAGGATTCAAAATGAAAATTCAAGTTACACAATGATTTTAACTGCTTGGAGTTTAAGACTTTACATGCAAATATCAAACTGCCATCTAAATTTATTCCGTAACAACGCTACCAACAAAACACACTGTCTTCTGCTTTCTAACGGTGCTGCTGGAACCAAACTTGTGGTCACGAGTATTCCATGATTTATGCCTGCTCAAGAGTGATGTGGGTATTCTCTCAATCACCACCCACACAGAGCACTAGAGGAGAAGCTTTGGGGGAGCTGTCGTGGTTTAAGAGTATGTATGGTTGATGCAGGAATGGAAACAGACAACTTGATTATCTGTTCCTTTTTTGTGTCTATATAACTTCTTGTTTTTTAAACCCACCTCAGCATCACAATGTTAATTCGAACAATACACCAAAGCATGTAGGAAGCCATGTCATAATCCTGGCCTTGAGCTCAAACACATCCTTGAAATTAGTTGTATTTTTTTGTCACCATTCTTACTAAAAGTTTCTTCCCATGTCTCATTCTGCTGATGGCTAAAAAAAAAAAAAAATCTCCTAAATGCCTGGCTAAATTTCCTTGGGGCTTGTTGACATCCATTTGCTCTTCGCCAAAATCTTCTTCTGTAGTGCCAACAGTTTTCCCCCCGCACACGTGTATTCCCCAGCCGCAGCAGCAGAGAGCAATCTTTGCCTTCAGCCACCAGCTTGAACCACCCAGCCTGGCTTCCCTTTTGCTGTGAGCTCCCCCTCCCTGCAGCCCTCAAGGGAGGCGCAGGCGGCAGAGCCCGCATGCGACAGGATCCCAGACGAGGCCTTGCCGATGTCCTGTGCGATGGCATTAATAGTTCGTTGTCTCTACTGGACGTACTTCACCTGCCACAGCGCAGGATCACGTTAGCATGTCACTAACCAAATCCTTTCCCTCATCTCTCATTTCCATCTAAGACGCTGCCAGTTTGAAGCAGAAATGCCTCAGTCTCTACGTGCCCGACCTTGTGTACGCATTTTGCTCCACGATTCTTCAATTAATTTCTATTACTCAAGTCCCAAAGTCAGCCAGGTCTTCCTGTACAAATAGTTTCATCTTCCTCGGCACTGACCACACCTCTAGCATTAATAAACACACTCCTCTATTTTGTACCAAGTCATGAAACCAACTGTTACGGAAGAACCACACTACTAACTTCACCACAGTCTGACAAACCTCACTTGAGCACACGACCAAGTCCTCTTTTTCCTTCAGCTAACTCCCGGCCGCCCAACTACCTACATTTTAATCTAGACCTGCATCTCATCTCTAGCTTATTCCATAATTTTTCAAATGTGTCACTGAAATCCAAATAGTCTCGATCAGCATTTTGTCCTCTCTCTTCATATTTCCAGGCCACTTAATTACTTTCGCATATACTATCAGATCACATTGTGAAAGACAAAAAACCCAACAAACCCTGCCTCGATGACCGTGTTTAATATGCTCCATGCATAAGGTCACCAGACATGCAATGCCTTCTTCCAGCTCTTGCAGAGGTCTGGGAGAGAAATTATTTGAATATTATGTGGATTATATTTTCTAATTTTTGCTTGTTTGTATACATTTCCATCTCCAAACACTCCTGCCCGTCAGATTCCTGCCTTTACAACCCCAATCAGCATTGTTTTTATTTATATATTAGGAAAAGTATTTGTTTACTTTTGAGGAATATGTGTATGATTTCCCCCTTCTTCTTTTGTTTTTAATTTTATCCTTATGGAAAACAGACGTAATGCTTTTGTTAGTTGGGTGGGGGTTTTTTTAATATTGTTATTAAAACAGTTAAAGAAACTAAGGCAAGGCCACTGTCTTCACAATGTGTCCAACATCCATTTAAAGATGGCACTTAAAGTGACTTACAGAAAAGCTAGCTTCCATTTAGAAAACTACAGCTGATTTGTTTGAAAAACAGATAACTGATAGCAAGTAAAAACATGCCAAGCAGTAAAGCTTTAAAAAGGGGCAACACTTGTTATACCAACCAGCAACCCGGCACGCATTTACAAAACCAACCACGGCAGCCAAGAAGGAGCACAACTGACACGGAGAGCAGGGCCCAGGAGATGCCCCTCCAGAGTGAGACAGACAGTAACGTATCACGTAGCATTCAGCTGCAAGAAGGGGGGGCGGGGAGGAGAGTAAAAGGGGGTGGAGAAAGTTGAAGAATCATTCTGCGAGCTTTCTTAGTGGGCAACAAGGAAAGTGTAAGGAGTAAACCTCAAAAAAACCTTGAATGCACCGTTGTTACAAATAAAGAGCAACTCTGAAGCGCCCAGCTCTGCTTTAGCAGTGTGTTTGAAGTACGGAAGTCAAGTGACTTTAAACCAGACTATAACAGAGGACCGTAACCTGAAAGAATCTCTTTCTGCAGTTAAGCAAGGCTTACTTTATACATCACCGTATCTATAAATGTAGTGATGATTAATCATCAAAGTGAGATAGTAAACCAATTCAAAAATATACATTACTGAGGAATGCAGTAAAAAAAGGTCACACTAACTAGAACAAGAATTAAAAAATGAAACACCCGCACAGTTGTTTCTACTCACAAAATTTGTATGGAAGTATCAACGTGTAATACATGTGATAATGCTTACCGCTCGTCTTAAATGTGAAGAGACTTGTAGATAACGGTCCCCTGCAGAGAACAAAAGATGTTTTTTGCCGTAGTCAGTGAGGAAAATTGAAGCAAACCGTCTTCAGTTTATTTTTCTTGTCTGACTGCTTGCCACTGAAACCCGTGCAGAGATGCCTAAACGAGCACTTCGCGATTAAAGTAACGCTTTCTGTCACCAAGTTCAGCACAAACACCTTGCCAACTGAAATCTAGCCCAGAGATACTGCCCGAGTTAAAGGCTTTCAAACAAACATCTGCCCAGCAAAACGCAAGACTTCATTAAAATGCTTCCCTTTTAAATTAAGCTAATCGTAATAACAAGAATCAGTCTCCTCTGATTGCTTTCATTCCTGGGACTTCTGAGATAAAATGACAAGTTACACTCTTTTCCCTGCAACTAAAAAGCTGCCATTAAACTATTATTTTCCACAGACCATTAGGAATTTACGGTCACGCCATGCATTTTGGAAGATAAAACCTCCTTGCAGAATTCGGAAAATTAATCTTTATGGTCTAGAGGTTAAAAATATCTGGTAAAACAATCGCACCGTAGTAAAAGAGCATTGTGAGAACCTTAAAGAAGAGAACCTGTCCATGGAACACGTAGCTCCGCTACCTGAAATTAATCCCGCGATGAGACACTACCAAGATCTAAGGTGCTAAAGGTAAGGAGAACATAGGAAGTACTTACACTTTTGAGGTGACGTTGTTAGCCAGGGAGCCTTCATAGTATGGGATGCCCTTGCTGATTACAACATTGATTTGGCCACCCAGCGTATTTGACACAACGCCTGCGTGAACACCAGCCATACAAAGTGATGATGACTTGAACAGGGAGGAAAAAGACAAACTTAATACTACATTGTAAATAAATACTACACTGTGTATTGTAAATGCTATATTGTCCAGTTATAGTCTTTGTTGTTATTACATTAAGATACTCTTCTAATTTAACTGTTATCTGTGTTATTTAGAAACCATTCATCTTTGTTTACTCTGCAATTTATAGAAACACAAAAATGAGGTCCTGCATTTCACTGTGTCCTTGCCCAGATGTATTTGGAATGTGACTCTTGTAATTAAATAAGCTCAAACAAACGGCAAGCTGAATCAGTCTGAAAAAGCCAGATGGCCAGACTTTCAGCCTACAATACATCCATTAGACAACAGAAGTTGAATACATAAATACATAGGAAACCTTTTAATAGAAAGCACATTAAAAGTATGTTTATTCATTTTCTCACAATTAAGGAGTGATGCACTGCAGATTTTGTAGCTTTTAGCCCATGGGTTATGTTTTTTATTCTAACTCATGTTTAAACTTGGTTTAATCATCCAGCACTCTGATCCATATAAACCCACAGTCATAAGCGAATACAATTCGTTCTAAAGCAGCCGATTGTACAGGTTGTACAGGTCAATGGAGATCAGTTACGCAAAAAGTTTTTGCAGGACATCCTGTTCTTTCCTCCTCTCCCTGGACGACTGTGAGCCTGGATCCACTAACAAATGCCACAGTGACGCTGCCATTTCCCTGGCTTGCAGCTAGCTGGGCCACAGAGAGCAGGACCGACTCACTACACCACGTCCTTGGGCACAGCACAGAGCGAGCAGAGCAAGACACCTCTGTCTCCTGGACCACAACTAGCCCAGGAGATCTTCTCCAGCTGGGAAGCAAAGCCTTCCAGGCCAAAGGGGCTTGACCAAGAAACATCCTAGTGCTCAGGAGCAGAGAGACAGTCCAGTTCCAACAAAAGTTTAGCGCAGTGGCTTTGCACCCGTCCACCACATGCACCACAGTTTCTGCAGGATTACTGGCGACGCATAGTGCGGCAGGCATAGACAGAGCTGTTCACAGGCGTTCCTGCAATGTGCAGCACCAGGGTACGCACAGACACGTTCAATTCTGCAGCCCCTCGCTCACATCCAATGAGACCGGGATCGACCTGAATTTTAGAAGATCGAGTGGGCCCACCTGTCCGTGAAGGACCACCTGGGTATCTCCCAATATACCTTGCAGAAACCGTATTTACCTTGTTATTACTAGTGTGCTATCCCAGTGCGGGCTTGCCCGAGTCGATAAACAACAGATGATGACTGCAGATTTTTATTTACTGTTAACAGTTGCTCCCCCAAACCACGTCCACTGCTAGCTGTTGCTACTAAACACATTTGCTGCACTGGTCTGCCAGCCAGTCCGCTGGGTGCTACAGAGCCTCACCACAACTCTTTAAGAAGGAATCAGCAGGTCCCTTCCAGAGAAGGAAGGCTTCATGGATGATTTTCTTTCTCTCATTGTTTTAAAAACAGGACAACTTTCTCTGTGGCTTCTTTAGAAATAATTGCATGGTGCAGCAAGCCAGGATGCCCCTGTATCTCAAGCTCACTGGCAAAAAAACCTGCTCACCAAGACTTTTCCAAAGATAATTCTCCTCAGTATACTCACACATAAAAGCTCTAACCCTGCTCCCCACTCCCCAAATATCCCAAAAGCTTTCTAAAGAAATGTAATTAAGTCTCGCTCATGCACACAGCTCCCCTTTCCTTTCCTACTTTCACTTGAAAGCAAGAGCATGGGATTCTGCAGTAGATGCAGCTCTCTCCTCCCTGCTCACCAGAACACGTCAGCAATGAGCGCCCCAAGTCCTCAAGGACAGCGGACATTAGGGTCACACACAAAAGAATCAGGATTTAGGGTATTTTTTAAAGCAGCAAGCAGCTGCTGATCATTTGAAAGAGATGCATGAGAAATCTCTCCGTGAAACTTTGTCTAACGTGCTGGACGATTTGATTTCGTTCCACACAGCTTGACTTCTGGGAAATTCTCTGCCTTCTATTCAGAGCAGTAAAGGATACAGAAAGTCACAGGACATTTATTTCCTAAAGTTTCCTTTTTCCTCCAGAGAAAACAGTTTTTCCAGATTTTGGCAAAAAACCTCCCAACAAGCAGAACTCCTGCTGATGCTGCAAATACGTTAGGCAGAGAATCAACTTCATCTTGTTACTAGCTACAAAAATTACCTCACAGCCGTTTAGTGAGGACTCACTGTGGACCAGAATATATAACACAGCTACGCTGTGGTGACATTTTTACATATGGGTCATTATTTAAGCAGGTAGCCTAGGATTTACAGACGTTTGAGAAAAGAACATCAGAAGGGCACACTTTAGGTTCATATTTAATATTAAAATCTGTGCTCACTAACGTTTTAAAATTGTCTTTCCTCTGTGCTAGAACTAATGGCTTATTAAAAGAGTATTTTAAGAGAAACAAAGATATTTAATGTAATTTTTTACTAGATTGCTAGCAAAATTATAATCACTTAAAAATAAACAAAGCAAACGCTCTCCAGTCCTATGGCAGGTATGCAAATTCAGTTACAAAAGCTTACAACAGAAAAACGGTGTATAGGTTTTTGTAGTGTTCTAACTAAATAGTACATTATTAAAGATTTTCATTTCCAGTTTATAGCACTAGTAATGGTACAGTATTAACTCTGTTTTGCAAATGGTTTTATAGCTGCTGAGCATCAATAGTATTTCATCTCTCATGTTGTAATAAAAAATTAAGATAACCACTGAGACCCTGTCTTTAGAGATGCATTACAGTGTCGAAAACAAGGGAACACCATTAAAAGAACTGGTTCTCCCTTTATAAATCTGAATTTCCCAACCTGAGAAAGCCAATAAAAACAAAACAGGAAGCAGAAAACGATATTTGGATTGATCCACCCTTCTCAGCAGGCCTTACAAAAACGTTTGAGTCCCTACTACACTACTTCACTTCTTGGAGATGGCAACATCTGAAGCACCAGCCATTTAACAGCTGTGCAAAAAAATGAGTACCATGCTATTCACCTTAGGAGGTACAAACTCCAGAACCCAGGCAGCAGAACTAATGCAAACAACTATAGTTGACTTGTAATTACACAGGGTGCGTTTTACCGAAATTCACGTGAGCCCACGGTATTTTTACTCACGTCTCTGTATCCATGGGGAATAGTGCCTGAAACGTCAGCAAAAGGAATCACACATCCAGCTGGACAATACTTACTGGAAGAGAAGAAAATATCAGGTCAAGATATGCATGCAACTACAACTCTTATGATGTTATAAAACGGTCACTATGTTTTTAATTTACAATACACTGTTATCATTCATATATCACTATTTAAGGATATATCCTAATTGGAGACATATCAAATTAGACAATAAAATAGGAAGAGAAGTACACAACAGGAGAACAGACATTTGAAAAGGTTTTAAAAAATGTCTCAGCTGAAACTACAGTTCCAGTCTCAATAGAATAAATTCATAAAGCCAGCATTTTATATTATAAATACTGCATGGCTTCTGTAAATTGAAAGTCATATAAGTACCAGTATTAACGAATTTTATTTTATAAACTAGAGACCTGCAGAACTATTTGTTTTGCATCCTTAAATAATACATCTGAAAAGTAATGTTATTTTATAATAGCTCCTGGCAATGCTTTGATCATAAAAACCTGGCCAAATTCAGTTAATACCACTAGCTTGTGAAAAGCAAGAGGCAAGACATCTGCACCTCTGATGCAAGCTCGTGTTCTAGTGCCATTTCATGCTGCACATACAAAACCTATTACATCTTCGAGATTTAACAGTGAACTGGAGTAAACTATTAATATTTTCACTGCAGTTCAACAACAGTTGAAGCAACTTTGCAGGTTCCACGAAAACAGCAGGATTCAGAGACTTCAACACACGGCCAGAACCTACAATCAGAGCCCTATTTTGGGACTTGGGAAAATGAGAGAGGAATGCAAAGGTTGCACTTTGAAACATTTCACGATGCCAGGGCTGAAGTTCTCCAACAAGTAAGTTTAGGTACTTCACAACAGTCTGCAGCTGTAAACACTGCCCTTGCTTTAGATGGAAACGGAGAAGGAGAAAACAGGGAAATGGCATGTTTCCCCTAACAGAAGGTACAGCATTTTGTGTCTCCACAGAACCTCATTAATTCACACTGAACTGTGAAATGGATTTGTAATTTTTAAGAATTTCATAGTTCTCCTTAGATAACTGTAATATGAATTTCAGTATTTAAGGTGTATACCTCCTGTAATATGTGTTTACAAAAGCAATATTCTTCTATGGGAATGAGATATTAGCTCCTATGTGTTAGTGCAAATTAACGAGGTTCTACTGTATACTGCATGTAAATAACAAAAACAGGAGAGACAGAGAGAGGAAGGAGGAGTGCAAATGTCAGCATTATTCAGCTCTAACCCTCATTAGTTTGTTTCTTAAGTTCTCCGGACAGCCAATTTTCAAGCTGCATCAGGTATAAGGAACAGAGAGAAGCAGAAACACTAAAATGCCTTCATGAAAGAGATTGGTGAGAAACAGGTAAAATCAGTCTTACTTGAATTCTGGTTCAGAAAAGTGACTTGCATTGTCTAAACAGGTAATTAGGTCTGGAAAGAAAAAATGTTAGGTCAAGAGGATGATAAAGACAACAAGTTTGAGTATGCTTTTTAAAGTGCACCAAAATATACATTTGAGCCTCTGTGGCTTAACCAAAAGTCTCAGAATGAAAAAACCACATTCCTACTAAATTTTCTTGCAACAGATTTTGTATTACAGTAGAACCTTGATAATTTGTCTGAGTAAGTGGGAAATCCACTGAGAATGTGACACAGACAAGAAGAGAAACACTACAAACCTTTATTTTTTGTGCAGCTTAATTTTATTTTATAGCTGTACTTCAGAGAACCTGACATAATTCAAAGACACAAACATAATGCTCTTTTCATAAAATTAAATTAATAAGCTAGCTAAACAGGCCTGTGTTTTCAGCATATAACAGGCGTACGGTACTGAAAGCAGGCAGCACAGGGAACAAACATTAGAGCGCCATGTTACTGGCATCCATGACTGGTATCTCAAATTTTACATTCAGTCTGCTGTGTTTCAGCACATACAGTCCAAAATACAGAGAGAAAAGCGTCAGAAAACCCACAAAATATAAATTAGAAATGAAAACTCTTTATCTGCTCTTTTTAGAATTATTTCTAAAAAGGGTTTTCTCAAGCCTTTTGCCTTGGGACGCAGTTGCTGGCAATCCTTCACTTCCTTGTGGACCACCTATGTCACTCACCATTACGATGAGTGGAAGGAGATGCAAAACAAATACAGCAGCCTCCTTTAGAGGCTAGAATAACCAAAACCACGGAAAAAACAAGAAATGGCAAAAAACCTTAAAAGTAGGCAGCAGATTGTATAATTAGAGAGTTGAGGGAGTACAGGAAACTGTCACTGAAATAAAATTTTCCATGATGCTGGTCTATAGGATATATATACAGTTCGATAAGAAATTTTTTTAGTTATCTGCCACCTTGATTACTACCTGAAAAAATGCATTTTGTCCTTTACCCAAAGCAGCTCTTTCATTCATAACAGGTAACTGTGATTCTTGCCCTGCTATGCAGGGTAAGCTTTGATATAATTTCTTTAAAACTACAGTAACTTAAATAGTAACTGGGCAGTCCGATTTCCTGTGCAGAGGTCTCAGGAAGACTGCATTAGAGGTCTGCATTTTTAGACATTAATTTGTGAGAACGCAGGAATAAATAAATTAGTTCTGTGTTTTTACTAGGCGGCTCTAATTTTACCAGCATAGAAAAATTACCAAATAATTATAAGTACCTGATTTGTCAGTGGTTGAATAAGCTGCAAGGAATCCACGTCCAGCAGTGTGTATTCCACTCATAAACTGTACTGTGATTTCATTACTTTTTGAAGTAATTAAACCATCCATTTGAAAGCCAAACCCACAGTATTTTCCTATGGAGAGAAGGAGGAGAACAGACATGGACCAAAACCAACATACAGAATAAGCATCTTTTTTCATTTGCAGCGTAAACTCACATTACTTCTGGCGTATATTCAAAACCAAATACATGTGCGTGACACTAAATAATGTAGTCAGTGTCCATTTAAAGCAAATGGCAGAGCACGGGTGCCACATTTATTTTGCCACTGTCAACAGGTGAGAGTCTCTCATACCCTTAACACGTGCAAATAAATGTGACCGTATCCCCTTCACCTCTAGCCATGCATAACCCTTGCAGTCAGCTCTTCAAAGACCATGGAAATCTGTCAAGGAAAAGGATCAAGTTAGAGCAACGAGAATCATCTACAGAAGCAAATGAGAAAAAAGCCCTTCTCGTCCCTCGGCTGTTGGGGCACTACTTCCTTGTCGATTATTTCATCGTTTCTGTCAACTACTTAATTTTGGACAACAGCAGGCATGATTCACTGCACTTCAGCATTAACACACAAGCATATGTGAGTACCATTAACATAAACTGCCAGTCGGTTCACTTTCTGTTTTGCTGCACCTGTAACACCTAACAGAGGTTCTGCATCTGGATACTTCTCTTGCCATCCAAAATGACCAAAACCAATACATTTTAAACTGAGATGCTGGAGTCTGCAGATATTGACAATATTTGCCCTATGACGTCCTAGAATTACTACCAAGTGACGTTACCTGGATGAATGGCAGTTAAACAGACCCAAAGCAATATGGAATTCTCCAGTCCTACTAATTAGAAACTTTAATAAAATACTGATCAGTTCATTAACCTGTTAAAAAAAAAAAAATCAATCTTCTGTTCTATAGGCTCCCTTGATCATTCAATGTTGTAAACCACCTACAAAGCTATTTAAGATTCTGCAGTGGATAATCAAAGTGGATAATCACCAGCAGCAAGTGACACTGCATATCTTTCAGTTCACCATTCATTTATTTGCTTTCTTGATAGTAAGTATGTTATCATATCGTAAAATAGCAAAAACAGAAGCCAGACTCCCTTCTCAACTAAAGGCAAATTACCATACTAAAGTAGAGGGAGTGGAATAACACTGCCCTGCAGGAATCGTTCTTAACAAATATAATACAGAACAAATATAACACAAATAAAATGTGTATGTCAAATTCCTTTAAAAAGTGAACTGCACTCTCAAATACTAATAAAATTTAAAAAAATTAGAAATACAAATTCCTATCATTATTCAGAGCTTTCTAAATGTTGCTTATTCAGATATTTTTTGAACAAAGCAAGGGTATTTTCTAATGAAAAAAAAAAAAGAAAAAGAGTCTACAATACTTTAATGACATTTATAATATTATACAAATAGAACCTTACCTCAATTCACTACTTAAACTGGTGATCAGCAAGAATTACAAAGAAGTAGGTTCCCTTTTACCAAGGCTCCACATTGACCCTATGTTTTGCTCTAAGTCCTGTTTCAATGATGAACTGCATTCATTATGATGAACTGCATCACTTTTCCAACTACCACTTTTCTTTTCCTTTTTTTAAGTTTTGTTTGCAGCCACTGGATCTTGTGACATGACTAACCAGCATGAGACTCCTCTCAGGGTAGGTCACACTGTCCTCAAGACACCATTTATCCTCTTCTTTGGCAAATACACAGGGCAAGACATTTAAATCTAGCTTGGATAAACTATCCAGTGCTGCTTGCACCACGGAGATACAGCCTTTGACAAACTGTAGACTGATGCACATTACGATTCATGGCAAGACGTACTTTTGAGACTATAAATAATTTTTCTAACTCTTTCCTGGCCTCTCGCCAGATTTTTAGCAATCTTTTTAAAAAGCAGGCACTAGAAATGGACAAAACATGAGTGCCGCGACGCCTCTGTCAATGGTACATGCAGAAGATGTAATATTACTATTTTGTCTGCACTTATGCGTTGAAGGGCCCCAAGTGCTTTTGTACACCAACATTACAGCAGGAGAGGGAATTCCCACGGTAGCTTACATTCTCTGCTCCTATAGATCTGGGCTTACATTGTAGGTATTAAATAAGTAGACCCACAGTGATTGGACTGCGATGAAATGTAATACAGAACACCTCTAGATCTTACCTAAACTAGAGACAAACTTGGCGCCAAAGATTTGAATCTTCTTTTGATTTATTGATAAGTATTCAAAAGGCTTGGAATGAGAACTGGCCCTTAAAAGCATCATTAGAAACCTCTGTTTATCAATAAACTAACCCGCTAACAATTCATTTTTTAATCTAATCAGCCAATTTCTAAGCCATTTTGAGTTAAAGTAGGTATCATTGAATTTCAGATTTTATGTAATACAAGTATTTTAAAGTTAGACCATGTCAGTAGTCTTGAACGGAAAAAACTTAGGATAAATCCAGATTTCTTCCAAACAGATTCAGGTCACTGTTTAATCTCTCCAGTGTCTGTTGCTTCAAACATGAACATTCAAGAATCCGCATCATCTGTATCTGCCACTGTTAATATCACTGTTTGTTCTGTGATTTAATTTATTAAGAGCAGAACAACACACACATTTGCTCAACATACTGTGCTACTACACCAGCTGGGAACAGCTGAAAGTCAAGAGAAACAAATGAAGTAGAAAATTTACTCGAACCCATTAAGTCACTTGTAAAAGTGAATAATAGACTTATCAGAACTGGATGTTCCTTGCCATTTTAGGACTTCAGCGTTTCCTATTTTAGACCAAGTCTGGCTCAACAGCTCCAAGCAGATACTTATTTTCACACACACTTATCTAGGTAACAGCTGGAAAAGAGGGTTAACAAAGCTAACGTTCCACTAGCCTCTTTATAAAAAGACTCAATTTAGCGGGGTGGACATTTGAGTCACACAAAAACAGTCTTGGTGAAGTAAATCTCTCTCTCTCTCTCTCCAAATTAAACCTTTAGGAAAGAAAATAAAATTAATCTGCACAATAACAACTAATTTTAGTGAAGGAAGAATGACAATGCTTTTTGAGTTTTATGCAAACAAGGGTCTTAAAACCCTACATATACCCTGACATAGATGATAATGTCACACTGCTATTTGGAAAAAAACCCTGCCTTACAGTCATGAAATTCAATTTGTCCTCTTAGAGAGGACAAAAATTAAACTGTGGACATTATCAGAAGATGGGGGATATTTGAACTACACAACTTTTGAAGCCTGACATCCTTTAATACCACCAAGATGAACAGCTCAAATCAGGGGTATTCCAAATAAAGACAGACATTTCAGGTAAGATATACATACTATTTTTTTTTTCCTTTTTTTTTTTTTTTTTTAATTAAGATCCTCATAGTTTTGCAATTCCCTGCTCACAAGAATTTTGCAAGCTACTGGGAAATGTCTGAGAAAAAAAAAAAATTACAGTGGAGTTTCCTTTAAGAATCTGCAGAATCAAAGATTATTATAGGATCTGTGTTGAAAAAAAGACAAACATTTCAGGTAAAAAATACATACTTTTTTTTTTTTCCTTTTTTTTTTTTTTTTTTAATTAAGATCCTCATAGTTTTGCAATTCCCTGCTCACAAGAATTTTGCAAGCTACTGGGAAATGTCTGAGAAAAAAAAAAAATTACAGTGGAGTTTCCTTTAAGAATCTGCAGAATCAAAGATTATTATAGGATCTGTGTTGCATTTAGCATCTAGTTGTTGTGTGCACAAACAAAACGTAGGATGTTCTGCTATCATTACTACTCATCATTTTTTCAGTACATTTTTAGGATATAGGAATTGTGACAAGATGACAGACGTTTACATACGCTTTAATAACAGTAAACAAAATGCAATTACTTAAGAACAATTACATTAAGAATACTCTGGCATTCCAAACAGAGTTCATCTACTGAGCAGCAATGGTAAACATACTTGAAACGAGCATATCACCAGAGAAAGGGGCAATCAGACTACTGTTTTCTTTACCGCTTTTATTTTTATATAGTTACAGTGGCACCTGTAATCCCTCCCTGTACTGAAGACCTGTATAGCATACAGGAGACTCTTTCCTTAGCTGTGCTTTCTAACAGTACTATCAGTAGTAAATTCACTAACACTGGTCCCCGACGGCTGTTTTTCTACTGTGGTGAGTTACACACTGCACTCCTCAAAGTTTTGCAGAGTTTCCTTGATATGAAGCTCAGGAAAAACACAACTCTGATTACAGAATCACTAAAATTCCTTTCTTTACCTTATTTGAGATTCCTGTAAATAATAAACACTTCCTGCTTTCATCACTTCTCATAAGACTCAAAATCCACACTGTGCAAAGCAGTGTATGATGTATTCAGGCAAGGTCTTACCCTGCCCAATATCCAACTGAATTGTAACAGTTTTCTAGGGCTATAAAAAAAGAACTTAACTAATACTATACACCTAGTAGTTACTCTATGCTCAGAGCAGGTAAACAAGGAGAAATTTTAAAAGTAACAAAAGTACCAACAGCATATCCAAGTTCTACACAAGACAGTAGCTTTCAAATACCAATAATAAAAGCTCCTACCTATTTCTGTCCTGGTGGGGCCAATCCCATTGTGAACTCTTAAGTAACTGGAATGACAAGAATCTGAGTCATCAATATCGAAATCGCCAAATTTGAGCTGAACTCGCTGCCCAGGCTTCACACGGATTTCCCATTCACAAACTGTGCTATTGGGAGAGGTCTGTGGGTAGTTTATCGAAGCAAGAGTTCCACTTTCAGGGCCCAGAACGGTGTGTCCACATCCATCACCTACAAGGGACAAAAATAAATCATCTATGCACATTCATCTTCAAAGCCTCACTGGTGATTTAGTCGTCCTGGTTTATTAGCAGTGGTATAAGATTTGTTGGGTTTTTTAACCATACTAATCATATTGCAAGAAAACTCCAAGGTAAGTCACATGCAGATGAAACAGCAATTGTGAGAAAACACCATTCAACCAATGTTAGCTTCTCATCACAGGTGGCCAGAGAGCTGCTACGACTTCCTCAACGAGATAAAAAAACAGGTTCTGAAAAGGAGGGAGAAACCCTCCAATAAAACAAGAGCACATCAGTTTTACTGTTGTTACCGTATTCCCAACACGATGAAAAAGAACAGAAGTGGAAAGACAGCAGACACCAAATGCTCTACTGAAAACAACTGCCAGGTCTGACCATCACCAAACTGCTAGTGCGTTCTTTCCTACTGTACCCAATTCTAATGCTGTAATTAATTCTTACAGCTCTTTAGAGAACATGCTCAATTCTTCTGGATTTGTACAAGAAATTAAATTATAACTCCAACCTGGAGCCCTCTACCTAACATTTCAGTATTCATTTTAAACAGCAGTAAGAAAGACTAAAGAAGACTTGTTTAACAAGTGGAAAAAATAGCACAAATTGTGTAATCTCAAAATCAAATTATAAAGAGGAAACTGATAAATCTATTTACTCAACAGCTAGACATGAATTTCCCCCAGTATGTAGTACAAGAAGTGTAAGAATTTGTGTGTTGTTTTGCAAATAAGAACGTTCTTTAAGTAACATCCACCATCACTGGCTCTTTATAAATTACTGTATCACAAACAAAGTATTCCTGAGCACAAGGACAGATCCAGGAAAATTAACACCTGCAATAACATAAGCCCCAGAAAAGAAGCCTCATAATATCTCTGATTTATTTTTGTTAGCACTGGAGCCTAAAAAGCCTATTTATTGAATTTAGTCCCATGAGATGAGCAGGCCAGGAACAGCATTATCACATTTTCAAGATTTGACACTAGAAGGTCCAGAGATCTTTTGAAAGAGACCTGTACATGTTACCCTAAAACCAATCAGGACCTTTCAGGATCTTGAGCAAGGTAACGTAAGCAAAACCAGCAAAGACAAAAATCAGATTAGATATGCTGCTAAAAAATTGTCTTCGACACCACTCCAAATACATTTATTATCTGTAGGTCCATTTTACCCTTCAAAATTCATGCCTGTGTATACAGGTGATGGTGATTACAACAGGTTTAACATTATGTCAAGATTTCACACTCTGGAGATGCATAGTGATCAACATCATTTGTATTGACAGATGTTTGTTTTGACAGCTAAAAGTGTCAGTCTGAAAGTGTTTCATATCACACACTAACACGTGCAGTTCCGCTACTAAACATGAAAAGGTAAGCTAAGCTTTAGGGACAAAAATTGTACACATATTTAAAGAATTTTAACTAAATTTAAAAATTCTTACATGTATTTCATGCAAGACTGAATGGAAAAGTAAGCCCACTGAAGTGATGTGGGAAAAAAACTGTGGTACTTAACTAGGTCTGATTAATCTGTTTGCAAAAGCACCCAATTTCTAGTAACAAAACCTATTCTCTTCATAGCCTGAGCACATTGAAAGATAGCTGCATGTTCTAAAAGCTAAAGTGCTGCTGGTATATACAGAATCACAAACAGATGCAAACTGCAGCTTTTTTTCTTGCTAGTAGCCTTGAATCAAAACGATGCACCTTCTTTGGAAAAGGTAACTGGAATATCTGCTTCAGTAAAATCAAAAGTTCTTTCTGTAAAGCTGTTCTTTAGCCATGTTTTTCTTCATTCAATGTTAGCAATTTGCTTTAAAACACTTTGTTTCATCCCATGACAACTATTATTTCCATTTGGGTGACAGCTGATAAATTACTTTCCTAAATTACTGTTGTTCTAATACATGAGACACAATTGTCCAATGGTACAAAGAGATAAGTTAAACCGTATGCTTTGTGTATCATTTTAATCCTGGTTTCTTTTCAAAGGCATGTTATAAACTTAAGAGTAAGTGAAAGATTTATCATTCAAAACCTGTATGGCCTTGGTTTATTAGTAAGTAAGCACTTAAATGTCAGATTCCTTATTAGTCACAATATGCTTAACAGTCAAGAAAAATACTGATTCCTTTAAAACTGGCTTTTCGCAAGCAAGTAGTCGCACACATTACAAAATACATGGAACTTATTATATTAACAATAAAAACAACAAATATATACAAGGTCTTTATTCATGGTGATATTTGTGGCTAGTATTTCAACACTCTTTATACTGCAGACATATAAAATTAGTTTTCAGCATAAGCAGCAGTCAGTTTTAGGGTATGTCCTACATAAAAATGATGAGCCAATTACTCAGTTCTGTACTTTTCCTATCCTCTGACAGGGGTAAGCAACTGTTTACTCATTTACAGATTGAAAATATTATGCAGATGCGCTCATACAGTGGCCTTTTGAACATGAAATCATTGTGGCTTTCACCTGCATGGGCAGACACATTGTTCTGAGTGCACTTTAAGGGAAATAAAAATGCTTGCACGATCTAGAATACCTGGTAGCTAATTATTTCTCATTTCAATGGGCCTGTTATTGCAATGCAGTAACCACACACATTTCTATTTCTTACAACCAGGAGTACCAATAATGCACATGATTATGTATCCTTGATTCCTCCCCACACTTTTGCATCTTCAGCCTATGCTGCTGGAAGTCAAAGACAAAGGAGAGCGTGGCTCTCTTCTTTGACCCAAACTGTACTTCGACTGTAAATTTCTCCAATTAAAAGTAGAAAAGATCATGCCTCACATTCATTTAAACCATCCTCTTCACTAGTTTGCTGTTCAGCTGTCTCAAGCATGAAACAATACCGGCACTGCATTTGTATGATGAACAGGGTGCACCTTTCTCATGAGAAAAGCAAAAGAATTCCAAAAACACTCTTACACGTTTAGGTGATAAAATGCAAATAAAATATTCTAAGTTTTAAAAAGACATCAAGACTTTTCTTTTAAAGACACATCACTAAGAAATGTCAAAGTTCCCCTTGTAGCCTGGACCAACCAGTCTTTGTTTCCAGTGGCTAGATAGAAAAAACTTTGTCATCTGTCTCACACAATTTAATGGAAATGCAAATCTCAAATCTCCCTTTCGTTGTAGGCTCTCCTGAAAGCATGCAAGGAAAAATACTCCTCTAATCTATCCATATTAAAGAACCTGCTGTCAAATCATACTAGAAAGGAATGGAAAGGGAAAAAGTGCTGAAATGCATCTACTGCATCATCTCACTGTGAAGGCAATTTTTAAAAGTAGCTCATTCTGACCGGACATTTTAGATCTCATTTTGTTGTGTGTTTACTCAGGTTAGCGATAGCAGAAGTGCCAGACACTTCATGCCTGAATTTAAAGATTACCATTGCATGTCCGGCATGCAATATACAGTCTGCCAAGGGCAGCAGCATCATTCAGGAGCTATTTGGAAATTGCTAAAAATCACACTTCCAACGAAACTTGCAGAACAATGAAACCTCATTTTATTTTATTGGTATTACAAAAGGGTAGGCCTCTCTATGTAAGTGGTGCTTCATCATTTCTGCCAAAGCTATATAAATACCACCGATCAACTCCAGAGACACACATATACATCCTGTACCAGGGAAGCAATCTGCAGTACTCAGCAATTTCTCCAAGAAAAAGAGAAAGTACAATTCTTTGCACTACAGCCACATATACAGGAGCATTAGCCACTTCATTCATTTGCAAGTCATTAATTACATGCCACAGAATCTTTAGCTTCTGTTAATCTGCGTGCATGGGAGTGGAATATCTGAGAACACACAGAAGAGACAGACATCAATTCCTAAATCGATTAGTCCTCAATGGGCTGACAACTTCTGGTGTCAGTACCCAGCTGAACGAGCCCCTTGCTTCCTCTCAGCCCCCTCCCTCACACAACAGACCTACTGCACTTGCAGAACAGATCAAGCTCTTCGCAGAAGCACCAGATCACTTGCCCATACACATTGCACCTGACATTTGCTGGAAGGTCTGCAGATGTGCATTGAACCTCATGTGTCCAGAGGACCATGCTCACAGCAAACAAGAATAAGCTCGGCTCTTCACTAAAACATGTGTTAGAAACACGGGCGCCTCTTAAGGAACCGGCAGAAGAAAGCAGACTGCTGTCGTCAGGAGAACCGTTCATCTCTTCTGCAGGCGCCTTCCAATGCAGTCTGGATGAATTATCCTGACAGATTACATATGACCCCCGGGCTATGGCAATGTCTGATGCAATCATGCAGATGATTTAAAATGATTTCTCATACCCAAGTTCTTTACGTCAAAAAAATACAGAATTTGAACCAACACAAACATACCAAAATGCATTGGATAAGAAGAAAATGTGAAATTTAACAAAATGAGAGGATATTGCATATGCAGGAGTGGGTGCTAAGTAAGTACTCTATTAATACCCACAAAAAAGATTAATTATTCTTTATAGTTGTTGAAGTCAATTAATCAGAACTTTTTCCCCCGAGATTGGCTGCTGTTAGTGACTGCTAATCTTGTTCTCACTACCAAAACATGTTAAAAATTAATCTTTAAGACTAGAGAATGCTTTCCCATTCCTTACTTGGAGAAGAGAGAATGATAAAATAAAGACATCAGACAGTTTAAGATTACAGTCTATAAGGCATAACTGATGCATATCAAAACACTGATCTCAATTTTAACACGTGGCACTGCCTTTTGAACAGACTCAATTTAACCAGTGGGTTTCCTGAGACGATTTTACATATATAAGCTATGATTTTCTGTAAGTTTGTGACTACATACTGGATGTAATTAAATCTTTCTTAACTAAGCAAAGGTAGAACCAAATTATTGTTATTATCTATTAAGAGTTATGTAAGCAAAAAGATACTTTATAGCATTCATTTTAACTCCAAACACACAACTCTTTCTGATT